ACCATAAAAGTGTTAACAAAGAGACAATTACTGTCACAATGCAAGTAGAAACAAGTCCACAGAGATACATCAGTGTACTGACGCAAGCAGAAACATAACCATAGAGCCGCAGTCAGCATACCTCTGCACCACTCTTCCACTGCTCATCTCTGCCCTCGGATCCATTACTCAACCTCTGCACCTCTTGTCAGTGGCGTCACAACCGGGGGGGCTTTGTTTATATAATGGGGGCGGGGGGAAATCTCTGCCCTGGGCGCCCAGAACTCTGGTTACGCCACTGCCTCTTGTCCACAGCTCACCCCTGCACCTGTCTTCTACCGCTCTCCACTGCATCCCTCCTCCAACATTCACTTTTGCTACTACATCTCTCTTTCAGTGGTCACTTCCACACGACTGCTTCAATACTCACCTCTGCACCCTCCTCCATGCCCTTCTCTTCCACTGCTTACCTCTGCATCCCTCTTCAAATGTTCACCACTGACCCCTCTCTGCCCCCCTTTTTCAGGCCTCTGTGCCCCCTGCACTACTCTTCTAGGGCTCACTTCTGCACCTCTGCTCTTACACTCACCTCTGCAACCCTCTTCAACTTCTCAGCTCTATCTTGGTTGCAGTCAATGGATAACAGGAACAAAAGTACAGTTATCCTTTAACAAAGCAAAGCTAATGATCACTGAGCTCAATGAAAACATCTCACAGTGGTAACAGCAAGTGCAGGAACATATGAATCTTAATCCTTTTGTGTCTGTGCTGTATAGGTGTTTTTACATTATTACAGTTATCAGCTGCTCCCTCAGACGTCTGCTCTACTATGGTCACACTGCCCCCAGCCCACCTCCTTACCTGTTGCCTCCCTCTTCCTAGTCAGACACCACCCTATCCCTAAGCAGCTGCTGACAACACTATGGAATTCAGGACACAGTGATACTGTGTCTAAATAATGACATCACGTAGATGAAGTTCAGGAGTGAAAGTCCTGCTGTAAGTTTAGAGCAATGGGCAGTCGATATACGCGTTACTTCAAATGGTGACATTACATCATCTTGATTTGTGTGCCCGAGTCCTACTGTCCAATGTGGCAGTGCGTGGCAATGCCACTGTGTTATCTCCATTCCTGTGTCCAGAATTTGAGTGGCCAGGGCATGCTAATGGCACAGGTGTGCACAGCCTTTAAAATAAAGGTGTTGGGAAGGGGTCAAGACTCCACCTGGGAGACAGGAAAGCTCCACCCCGGAGTCAGAATGGAGTCCAGTGCAGCAGGGTGCTGCAGATTGGGAAGAACCCCCAGTGTGCAGGTTAGCACACGACTGAGGCTGTCTGGAGGAACAGACAGCGGGCTGAGGCCGGAGCAGCGGTGCTGCAAATGCAAAGCCAGGAGACTGGATGGGCAGGTGCTGCCATGAGATGCTAAAGAACCCCTGCGAGGGTAATTGTTCTGTTTTGTGAACTTTCATTTAATAAAAGTGGGCAAGGAAGCCCTTGAATGAAGATTACAGCGAGTGGATGCGTCCTTTATGCGCTACTATTTGGAGCTAATCCCCACACCAATTACAGCAAAGAGCAGTGGGAGTTTAGGGGAGCACAGCAAAATTATTTTGGAGATCACAGGACCCCTGGGTTTTCCCCTGAATGTGGGGCCCGGGACAATAGGCAAAAGATGCTAGCAATGCCCATGAAAGATAGTGAGGTTAAACCTTCCCAACGAGTTCATGGACAGCAATACAAACTTGACAGTATTATTTACTCTTTTCATAGCTGTAGGAGCCTAAAAAAAGTTTTGGCTGTATTTGGACATCAACATACCTAGATTTTCTAAAGGTATCACCGCATACCGCATTACTCTCGTATTTTGTAATCTTATTTATATATACTTCTTTAGTTTTTTTCAGTGGTATGATTTAGTGGTGAAAATTATTAGTGCCCCCCCATTTTGACTGTGGTATCTTATGTGCCCCCCCTATATATTGTTCCTAGAGTCGCCTCTGATCTCATGACATTACATATGAGTTTTCCCAGCAACGTTCTACTGATGTAACCTTCCCAGGATGCAACACTGGACCAGGAAATAGATCAACTCTATTTGTAAGTAAATACAAAACAAATTGTATAACTAATGCATGTGAGATGATTTTAAATCAGCGTGCAGAGCTGCACGCTGAGGTGATTTTTAGGGAAAGGTCCACTTTGGGTAACTATTATTGCACTTTTCCAAAAATCTAGCACTCTACACATTGTCTGATGTTGAAAGAATATTGGGGTTGGGTTGTTTTGCTAAAAGTTTACAGCTTGAAACAGCTAATTGTTTTATGGGACCTTTTTTATTTTCCCATAACCCAACTGGATTAAAGAGATTAAAGAAATTATCTAGATATGCAAATGTTTCTTGTACTTATTGTCATGCCATTTGGGGTGGCAACTATATTAGTAGAAAAGTCCAAATACCATTTGCACTCCTTCGGTCTTACAGTTCCCAAAAGGGTGTTTGTGGTGCTCAAGATGTCCACGCGGATGGCGCCGTGCACAAACATCAGCAAAGAGTGTTACACCGGCACACACCGAAACGTTAGTTACATAAAGCTGTTTGTTCTGTTACCGCTGGATGAAATAAAAACGTTTATTTATATCGGACTGTGTTGAAGACGCATGTGTACCCCTGGGGTTCCCCACAATATCTATCAATACGATATTGGATCTTCTCAGTGTGTGCCGGTGTAACACTCTTTGCCAACTATATTAGTAGATCACCATACAGTTCAACCTTGTGACTTTTTTTGTAGTGTTTTCAAAGATAAAATATGTTAGAAAAAAATATAGATATATGTACTGTATATATATTGTCTCCAAACAGGAAGTGAGAAAATATTTTGCCATGCTCAGTATTATTCGATCTATCTTTCTTCAGCTCTTTTAACTAATTTAGATCTGTTGCAGGGACGTGCGGTCAGGGGAGGCAGGTGAGGCTAGGGAGAGAGGCTGGGGAATGCCTCACCCGGAACAAGAGGTACTGCATGTTCCTGATCTGTTGCAATCCTTATTGACAATTCTATATGTAACCATGCTGATAAAATTGGTAGTCTTTAACCACACATAATATATTGGAATAAGAAGTCCTATTAGATTATTATAAAAATAAATACACATTGAGAATATTGCAGTTGCTGAGATAACATGATTTTATTTATGCGGTTTGCTACTAATTCTACATAGAGAGGTTATACAGGAAGGAGAATAGCTAACATTAGATAAGTACAGAAACTTCAATATTAATCAGGTTTACTACTTATTTACCGTGTCTAAGGTAATAAGTAGTTGACTGGTCCTGACTTTGCCCTCCTGCTTGACTACCCCTACTGCCCTGAGTCTGCTGACCTCCAGACTGGCTGCTGCTGCTGCCTTGGCTTTGCTGTCCACTTCCTTGCTGGTATCCACTTTCAACTTGACTTCCACCAGTTTGCTGCCCACAGCTTTGAGTTTGGGAACCTCCTTGACTTTGTTGCCCAGTGCCCTGGGTCTGTTGGCCACTGGATTGGCTTTGTTGACCAGAAGTTTGAGTTTGCCCACTGCTCTGGCTCTGATTACCACTGGTTTGGCCACTGGTCTGCTGACCACTGGTTTGGCCACTGGTCTGCTGACCACTGGTTTGGCCACTGGTCTGCTGACCACTGGTTTGGCCACTGGTCTGCTGACCAGTGGTTTGGCCACTAGTCTGCTGACCACTGGTTTGGCTACTGGTCTGCTGACCACTGGTTTGGCCACTGGTCTGCTGACCACTGGTTTGGCTACTGGTCTGCTGACCACAGGTTTGGCTACTGGTCTGCTGACCACTTGTTTGGCCACTGCTCTGCTGACCACTAGTTTGGGTTTGACCACTGGTCTGGCTACTGCTCAGCTGACTGCTGGTTTGGGTTTGACCACTGGTTTGGGTACTGCTTTGCTGACCGCTGGTTGGAGTTTGACCGCTGGTTGGAGTTTGACTGCTGGTTTGGTTTATTCCACTAGCACCACTTTGCTGACCACTGGTCTGACTTTGTTGATTGCTGCTCTGGCCATAGCTTCCACCACTCCATGCTGACTGTAAAACACATAAAAACAATATCGATATGTAAACAAAAACCATATTTTTTTTATATAATTCTAAAGATTTTTAGTATTTGTAACTTCAACTGCAGATAGTGGCAATTTATCTAGATGAGACTGCTTCAGTGAAATAACATACAGTAGTCTGTAAAAACTAAGGAAGCATTAAAGAGTTCCCTTCTACCTATGGCTGGTCACACATTGTTAACAAAATATATTAGTAATAACCATAGTTCACATCAGTTAATTTTCAATTGAAAGTAATTGTTTGCTCATACAGTATATATGGCTGGACATATTAAACCATAGTTTGATTAACAGAACTTACTGCAGTCGGCTTGTTGCTAGAGGGCTGTAAACAAAAAAACAATAAAATAGTTAAAATGCATTAAAGTTCCTTGACAGTTCACTAGATCTTACAGTACACATGTCATATACAATGCCCTATGTATAAGTGTGTTTAACTATTGAATAGCTTGCAATAGCTGTGTTGAAAAAAAAATTGATCACTGGTAAAACCTCTCCTTTCCTTGTAAATACTATGAGGGTTATTCACAAAGCTGCCGGCTATTCACTTCAGGCTTGTACAGCTGATTCGGCCGAACCGAAATGCAGAAGGAGTTCGACTCAGCCGATCCAACATCTGGATCGGCTGAGCCAAACCTCTGGCAGGCTGCTCGCTACTGTTCAGCCTATTCTCACAGGGGCCGAACAGCAGTGAGTGAATAGCCGAATGCCGCCGACAGGCATTTGGCTCGGCTATTCTGCTCGGTACCTCCGTGGTACCGAGCAGAATAGGAAAACTACTTTTTTAAAAGTAGAAAACGACAGCTTGCTCTGCCCAACTGTTTTCTATTGGCAGGGACCAGCTGTCATTACAATGAGAGCTCGGCGGAGCCCGGCAGTGATATGAAAGCCGGCTCCACTGAGCTCTCATTGTAATGACAGTGCAGCGTCCCCTGGTTACCAAGTAACCAGGGGACACTGCACTGTCATGAGGGCTCAGCGGAGCCTGTCGTGATATCAAAGCCACCTCTGCTGAGCTCTCATCGTCAGGAGCCCACACTCACAGGCAGCTGCACAGCAGACCTGAGGAGCCAGAGGAAGTAGAGAGGAGCCGCTGCTGCTGTCAAGATGGAGCTGACAACTATTCCCTGAGGGTGCAAAAGAGCTGGCTCCGCAGAGTTCTCATCGTAATGACAGATCAGCGTCCCCGGGTTACCGGGTAACCCGGGGGACACTGATCTGTCATTGCAAGTGGCCGGAGCCAGCCATGAGATGATGGCTGGCTCCACCCAGCTGTCGGCCTGCTTCGGCTTTCACCTCGCAAAGTCGAGCAGAAGCATATGCCTTCGGCTCGACCGAGCCGCTCAGCAAACTTTGGGAGCTGCACGGGCTATAGCGAATAGCCCGTACAGCAGCCTTTCAGTTCTACTGAACCGAAGGGCTCAGGGGGCCGAAGCTAGCCAAAGGATCAGCCGTAGCTGATCCTTCGGCTAGCTTTGTGAATAACTCCCTATGAATATCAGTTCCTACTTCATGAGAGGCAGCAGCAATATAACAACACCTTTATGGCGCACAGTTGTACGTTAGTTGTTAGAGTATCCGTGTCCTTTATTCTTGGGTGGTTTGCCAATATTAGTTGTATAGAGATGCACAACAACTAACTTACAGAACTGTTGTTTAGAGAATTTATGAAGGAGCTAAAGTTTTTTTATGACCTTCTGGACCCTTACGCCTTTCCACATATCAGTGCAGTCTACTGCCGTGCCCCTGAGTGTATGTGTTACTGTTACTGTTTTACAAATATTAGTTCTCATGTTCCATTAGGAAACAGGGATACATCATATTGTTACAGTGTACAACTTAATTCCACAAGCATTTTTTAGGATCTATAAGTTATTTTCTTACCTTCTTGGATGGGTTTGGTGCTAAAAAATTAAAACAGGAAGAAATTATTTTTTGAAATGAAAATACTGATCTTCATATATAAAAACAAGAGCACTTTATCTGTAGCAGAAATTATGCACATTGTTGTTAATTCAGGGTTCCTACCTCCTTCCATTGTGGTGGATAAGGTTTATTGATTCCTTGTAAGGACCGGCAAAGTAAAACCTGTGCATAAATCAGAATAATGTTACTTAAGGTAAAATACAGCAATGTGCACACATTCAAACAATCAATAAAATATAAAACTCTTTAGGCTGTGGCATATGGGTTCCTTTTAGCCACATTTCCTTTATTCCATAACTTTTTTCTTTCAAAAGCAAGGCAGACTATGCACATTAATGCAGCATAAAGAACAATACTTCTGTATGGAGAAGTAGATACCCCGTCCCCAGTGATAACAGGCCCTGCAGGCTGAACTAGAGAAATCCTTTGATTCCCCCATCCATGCTAAACAGTGTGGATGGAGGAATTTCCCCTTGGTTATTGCATTCTGAGAGAATACCCAAACAGTGTCAGCAGCTGATAGACTGCAGTCTGTCTGTGAGGTGAAACAAAACAGCAGGTTCACCAGTGTATGGCACAGCATAGAAGAGCAAAAACCCTCTAGTCATTATTTGGCAGTATAACTACATCTAAAGGAAAAAGGTCACTCCTTTGAAGACAGTCAAGTACACATCCTAGACAATGAGGAGGACTGGTTTAAAAGAGGTGTGAAAGAGGCCATTTATGTAAAAATGGAGAAGCCAAGCTTGAATAGAGGTGGGGGGGGTGAGAAATCTATTGTCTGCCACATACAGTACTGTTTTAACACCTCTCTCTAGGCAGTTATTAACACCCCCTAGACTCCATTTATGCTAATGCAATCAACACCTGGTTGTGACTAACAGATTATGTGGATTGGAGTGAAATTCACCATATTTATTCCCAGATAATGTTTTTGTACAAGTCATTCTGAATTAAGAAAGCTGGCCAGATGTCAAGTGAAACGTCTTCAAGAAAAATTCAGCAAGTCCAGTTGCCTTGACTTATTGTTTACAGATACTGCAGTCACTGTTCTGCCAACAGATTTCCACCCTATTCCTTTGACAAAAATGTATTGAAAAATCCACATTTGTCGAGATGGTTGGTGTCGGCCAGGAAATGTCCACAATTCAACTTGTGTATGAACAGCTTTTGTTTTCTCTGAATTTTCTCCTGTTTACATTCAGCTTGATATTACTGGAGGATTGAATTTTATGTAGCACTACTGTGAATCATTTTTGTGCCCAGTATCTAGCAAAAAAGAGGAGACACTAAAAACCACCAATGTGCCAAAATCTAATGCATTGGAACTGGATAGAGTACTGAGCATGCCTTGCTACATTTATAGGCTTGAAATCAGGAAACAAATACATAAAATTACAGCTATCACCCATAACTTAAAGCTTTAAATTCATGAGGAGGACTGATGAAGTGAAGACATTGCTGCATTTACCCTCCAGATAATTTTTTTGTCTTTTTAGGTAGAGAGGAGATGAGTTTTGGGGTGAGTGGAGGAAGAGATAGAACTTCTTGCACGTTTTTAACACTGAAAAGTGGTCACCAAGAGTGGAAGTGAAGGGAGTTTTCTCCATTTGAAACAGGTAGAATGGCGACGAGCCTCCACCAGATCATTATTGCCATGTTTACTCCCTGTGAAGAATCCCTACACTTCTTGTCCTAATAAAGGTAACTACCAGGAAAAAAAAGAGAAGGAAGAACTCCCCAAAAGGTAAGCAAAAGCAAATAATGGCCAACAGAGGCTGGAGTCTAACTTTTGTATAGGTTTTTATATTGCAATCAGTAAGGCCAAGTATATACAACATAAACTATTAACCAGAACTACACCCCTTTATTTAGGGGTACCTATTTGGATTTAATAATTATTTTAACCAACACTTGGCCTTATTTATTTATAGGGTACAGCGAAGCAATTATACAAATTATACTATTTAATACAAATAGTTTGAAATGTCTGAGAAAAATAAAATCTTCTACTACCAGACCCCATGTTGGCAAATCACATTTTAGTTTACAGAGCAAGACATACCAACAAAGCAAATTCAGCTTTGTAGACTAGCCAACATAATGAAGAATACCTGTCTCTTGGTCTCTATGGATTATGACACATTCACATATTAAAGAAGAGACTAAATCAACTCCCTAGCTTGCCTCTGTTCTATACAGAAGTGGAGATTACACATCTGAATGAAGCATATTTCATTAAACTGGTTGGCTTGCTGTTCCTCTGCGGTCTGGGATTCTGTGTTCTCGTGAATTTATATGCTTTTTTCAGTAATTGCTTGTTGCTTGTCTAATTAGGTCTTCAACTTCAGAATGAGAAAGCCATAAACTGTAATCTGGTCTAAAAATCCTTGTGCCTTTGCAAGCTACTTTTAATGGCTGATATTGTGGTTTATGAAGTGTTACGATTAGTAGGGTTTTCCTTGTTAAGTAGTTAACACCCCTTATAAAATCATTACTGTCAACACTAACTCTGAAACAAGTATGGGCTATGATGCTGTTTTTTTTCTTAATAGAGTTGTAACTTGAGTTGCTGTTATGTTGAAAGTGAGCAGAACTGGAGAATGTTTCCAAATCAGCTATGTTGTCCTAGATTGTTCACGTCTTCTGCCTTCTCCAAACTCTTCACTCTTTTGTGAATAACCCTGTATGTGTCACAAAATAAAAAAAAGAAATAAATTAATAATAAATTGAATATTAAACATACTTCTCTGAAAGTATTATTCATGTTGAATATACTTTTTTAATATGCATAGTATACATGTATATACAGGTGCATGAAGAATCAAGTTTGTAAAATTAGCTATTTCTCAATCAAAACCCAAGCGTTAGGAAGCTCTTTTCAGCATCTGAATTGATAAAATGCATTTGTTTGTCAGAGCATTATCTGAAAAGCTGATAGAATAGGCTACTTACCCAGTGAAGGTATCAGTCAACTGTGAAGTTCAGATGTCTGTAGCCATCTATTTATACTGACAAAATAGGTGTTGTACAAAGTGCCTAAACACTATGGAATCCAACCCAGCAAAGGCGTATCCTTTAAAATTATACTGACATAAATATTACGTAGTGATGGTACAGAACTCATAAAGAATAATAGCTCAGCAAATACTGAAATGAAACAGTTAAAGTAAACCGCAAATTAATAATAGTCCTTTCAGTTGTCAAATAATGGCTATGATTATGTCTATTTTGTGGGAGGTTTTCTGTAATTAAGTGACATGAAATTCTAACAATGTAATTGGCCAACTAGTGGAAGTCATGTTTATTAAAAAAGCAATGACAATAACTATAAGTACGTAAACCAATACATAGAGCTGTCAACACATACATAAATTAATACAACATACTGTACATGAAATTACATTGCATGTGATGTAAATTGATCCTTATTTTAAAATTGATATACTTAAAACATAAATTAGTGCAGCTACAGTGGTGAATGTATGGCATCAGATTTTTTATCTATAATAATACCAGGGAAATATGGATTCTTATGCACATTGTTTGTATTTCTTTGTCCTGTGCTCTAAGATATATATAATAATACAAAAAGGTTAAACAAAAACTTGCTCCAGCTGCTGATGTAACTGCTGGATGCACCTGTCATGAGTAAAGTACAGCAGCTGCCATTGCTGGCCTCTCCTGAAAATACACTGTCCATCAGTACTTCTGGGTAACAGGCTGGAAACAAGCAAACAAACAAACAAGAAATGAGTATAGTTATTAAAAGTGTCATAATTCCCTATTTCCATACTTGTTCCAGGTTAGTGTATCAGAAAGCATTGAAGCGAAAGCATCAGAATAAAACCAGGGGAAGTCAACAATAGTAGCCTACATAATTCTCACCTGACAGGTGTACTTTAATTAAATGTAAAGTGTTTTCAATTTTTTTTTTTATATACATGTAATGTAGAAATAATTTGATTGATATCAACCATTTCCCTAATGTGTGTTATTAAAACCATTGTTATCTTTGTACAGGCTATTCATATACACTGTATGTACTGGGGGGCAGCCACATTTGCACATTACATACACAGGTTCTGCTTCCTGCTTTGCATTTGTGCTTTACTGCTCCCTTTTACAATACAATGCAAGTCAGTGTGGATGATTTGCTGAAGTTGTAGAGACTGCTCACTTTGCAAAGTGAATTTTCACTTAATTCCATTAATCTAGTTCGGTGATTGAGGTAAATCAACCTCGCAGAGGAACCCAATCATGTGCAAGAATAGGATTTTTCTCATACAGCTCATATAGCTTCTCCTCATTTGCTAAGCTAAGTGAAAATTCAATTTGCAAAATGAACATCCTATATTCCTTTAGTAAATCAACGACCATGTGCCATCCGGCTGATTGAAAACCAAGCACTCCCTGCGTGGCTGCTATCTTATCTTAGCAGTTGGATTAATAATGGTTGGTTGTAATGGGTAATCTAGTCAACTTCTGGTGGCTAGTCTACAAATCTCCACATTTAATACAATAAAAACATACGGAAGAGTAGTGCCAGCCTTATTTATTGATAGATTCCTCCATCCATGTGAAACAGCCATCCAAACCTTTGCCATCATTAGAGGTAACTTGTTTTTACAGAGCACAAGGAAAACATTTTTTTCCTAGAATTCAGCTTTCAACTGTCAGTTTTAGTTGAGGAGATTTTTGTAACTTGAGGATTATGCCTTAGGCATGCAGGGTTAATTTCAGTGCTGGCTGAGATGACCAGGAGCTCTGAGCAGGGCTATAGGAAGGGTGAGGCAAGTGAGGCACTCGCCTCGGGCGCAGCTGCGAGGGAGCGCAGGCAGCCAGGGCTGGACCTGGTGTTGGGGGGCCCAGAGAGGAATAAGAGGGCACGCACTCCTGCAGCTCTCTCACGCTGCCCGCGGTGTGGGATTTGGAGGAGCTGACTCAGCGGAGTGCAGATACAGCATCGCTACACTGTGAAGATGATGCGGGCGCCGGCCAGAGAACTTAATTTCCCAGCAGGCAGTACAGCAAGGCAAGTGCAGGTTGGGATACCGACTAGAGGTGTTGGACCTCAGAGGTTCAGGCAGTGTGTGGCCACTGGAGAGAGGTCATATAGAAATGGTTGTTTCACTCCTGGAGATCTGATGCTCAGAATTAATCACCCTTGATTTTGGTCTGTCAACCTGATCCGTAACCAGTA